TGTGTTACAGTTCAAGTCACATATGTACCCATTAATGCACATTCATGCAAGCCTTTTTTCTATCACACACCATCCATAGAATTAATTTCAGTTTTATTTGTATAGTGCCAAAATATACATTATCTCAACGCACTTTACATAGAAGGTCAAGACCTTAAAATCCTATTAATATAGAGAAACCCAACAGTTCAACACAATGAGCAGCACTTTGGCGAATGTGGAGGAAAAACTCCCTCATTAACAGGAAGAAACCTCTAGAGGAACCAGAATCAATGTGGACGGTCATCTGCCGGTTGGGGTGAGCAAAGAAAAATGGGGAGAGGAGAGATGGGTGGAAAAGAGGGGAGAGAAGAGAGAGAGAGATGTGAGAGAGACCGGGAACACTTGAGCACCATCAGGTATCAGATCTGACTAGTTATAATGAAAAAAATAACAGTTTAAAGACTATTAATTATTATTGATAGCAGTAACAGTTCATATAATAAGTAATGAATAATAAGTGTTGTTGGTTGAGGGGTTCAGCATCTTGCTTAATGACACTTGCAAGCTCACTGGAGGTGCTAGGGTTCAAACCACCGATCGTGGATGACCTTCTCTACCTCCTGAACCACAGCTGCCCGCCAGCCATTATGATATTGGTAGCTTAAAAACATTCCACTGAACCATGAAAAAAACGGATCATATTTCTCCTTAATAACCTGCTCAGATGGAGACACAGTTCAGTTACAAACACTTGTTTGTAACTGTTGACAAATTCGTATTATCAAGCTCCAACATTTTCAGAAAAGAGAATGCATAAATAAGTAACTGACACTGGGCTCAGTTCCATCGTCAAGCTCGCCTGGTATGCAGGGACATCTCACATTGGAGAGAAAGGGGAAAATGTAAATATCCAGATGCTGAGAAACAATATAAAGACAGCTTGAAATAAACTATGAACCGTTTATTAATGTCAGACCCTGTCTCTGACAGTTTGCTGAAGCAGATAGAGGAGGTCGCATTCCTCTGAATCGAAGGAAAATAAGTGCGTCCTTTCTTTTTCATCTCTAAAAGAGCCACTCCAGTGAATTCACTCTGGTACGCTGTTATATGACTTGTGACAGGCTCAGTTGTTTTGATTTGTTTTGGTCCAGTGATATTAATAATACAGATATTATATTATTGATACATTATTATTATTTAATGGCATCTTTCATGACACTCAATGTCACCTCACATCAGATAACATCAACAGCAATAAATCATACTAAAACATTATCATCATAAAACATACAATCAACAGCAAGAGTAATAAAACATAACTACTATTAACAGTGCAAAAGAGCAGAACTTTGGAAATAAATTAAAATCAATGTTTGCAACAAAAAAGAAACAACATGCATTGAAAAGGAGTTCGTTTAAACGGATGGGTTTGAAGAGCACTTTAAAATGTTGTAATGGAGTTCAGTGTGCAGATGTGGTGAGGAAGGGAGTTCCAGAGTTTGAATGCAGGGCTAATGTTAACGGTTGGTACGTCAATAGATCTGCAGATGAAGACGGTGCAGAAGCCAGATTGTTTGACGAGGTTACAAATGGCAGACTGGATATGGTCCAGTAGTTGTTTTGGTCCTTGGAGTCTAGTCCAGGTTTTTTTTTTTAGAGTTGGTTTGATTATGGCCACTTTGAAGGAAGGCAGGACCAGGGTTATTATAGTTAACGAAAACTAAGACTAAAACTAAAACTAGCAATGAAAAAATTATTTGGTTAACTGACATAAAAATAAAAACGACAATTACAAAAAAAACGATAACTAAATAAAAACTATAATGAACAATGCAAAACTAAAACTAAGATTAAAACTAAATAAAAACTAAACTAAAACTACAAAATCACTTGTTGAACTAACTAAAACTAAACTGAAATAAAAAAGCAAACTGAAAAACGGGCGGGACTATACCAGTAGACACCTGCCATACTGAATGTTGTGTAGATAACCTTAATATTCCCAAATCATGATCTGCCACCCTGAATATGCAGCAGGCGTGTTGCAACTTCTCTTGACAGCTAACACACCCTGCTCATAGGAGATGTAACTCATTAATACAGATAAATCCTAGATGAACATATGGCAACACTGTAATAGATTCTTCACACAAGGGAAATATTCCTGGCTAAACATTCCTCCCCCTTGAATGCTCTGATGGGACCCAGACAGAATATATGGCAGGATGCCAACAACATCCTGAACCAATGATACTATTTCTGTTCGTTGGCAAAGCTGAGCTTATCTGATAAGCAGCAGAAAATTACACCTCAGATGAACATTTGGTGCAAAAGTTTCTCAATTCAAGAAATACTATAGATCTTTCACAAGAAACAATGAGCATGTTGCAAGATCCTGTGTATGCGAACAAAGCCCTCCTCATGTAATGTAATTCAATAATACTGTTTAGTCCCGGATAAACATTGAGCAAGATTCAAAACCTGTTTGGATACAAGGAAAACATAAGCAGAAACACATGCATCTGTGCAAGAGGAGGCCTCCTGTTCCATCTTAAGACAATGAGCAGGAGTTCAGATATGAATTCAATTAGCAAACCAAGTTTGAGTAAATGGTTCTGTGGTGATCTGCCAAACAATACGCATGAGAAAACACCATCAAACACACATCAACAACTGATTCAGCCAATACCAGGGTACTCCAGTCATCATTCTGGGCATTGGCAACAATAGAAGCACTTACCACAAAGCATTACGAGAAATTTTGTGCGCACTGCAGAGCACACACACACACACACACAC